CATTTATATGTGAATTATATAATGTTAAATTACTATTAAACAAATGACTAAGTATTTTAGATTTTAGTTTACTTCAGCCATAATCCATATAAATCAGGTATCATACAAAAATAAAAACTCAGAAGTCATGACAATAAAAGAATATGACTTTAAGGACTTAACAACATTACTTCAGTTATATTACACCAACATCTCTGACACATTAGCACTAAGGGAGCACTAAATGACTCTGGTGTTTTGTCCATAAAACTACTCATCTAAGATTACTCACAAAGTAAAAGATCTCTCAGCAAAATTATGCAACATTTTAGGCACTATTGCCCGTAAATCATGAGCTATGTGTTATTTTGTATTTTTTATTCTACTGTTACAGCAACAGACATGGACTACTGGTGTCCCACACAACAACTCAATGTCCTACTATGTGAAGGAGCCAAACACATGCCTTCTCCTCTCGTTAACTGAGATAAACTGCTGCGCATATTGGTTTTACATCTATACTGTCCAGTCTCTCCTGGTGGACACACAGCAGCATTGTTTAATCTCATTTGAGTCATTGTTGACCTTAGCCATCTTTTTAGTCTTCTGAGAGCACTGAAGCTTCTTTCAGCCTCAGTACCTGCATTTTATCCTCAGATTAAAATTATTATTCTGTGCTTGATGTGCCTCACCTTTGGCCCTGGCTCCTCCCCTCTGACTGCACTAGGACATATTGCCACCTGATAAAATAACACATGGATTCGTGCCATATAAAAAGTGAGACGTGTCAATTCAGATTCTTTGTCAAATATACACTAATGAATCAATTTACATCAGCAGCCTGACAATTGTCATGATAATAAATACTAGTTAATCTACAGCACCAAATCATCAGTCAGTCACCTGTGACCTCTGTCTGAGCTACAACATGGCAGAGCTGCTCTCTGTCACCTGATAAATAACAGTGAGACATTCCACATACTGTACATGCAGTCACACATGTGCTTCAAATACAGTCTGGTTGAATCATCCGTCCCCACCAATGCCAAAACCAAATCTACTCCCTTGCTCCAGAATAATAAAGTTCTACAGCCTCTCTATCTCTGCACTTTGCTATAAGTTGACCCAGACCAGAAAGCTAGTTTGCAGCTACGAGTCAAAATCAGAACATCAATTATCAGCCAGAGGTCTCTGTACTACGGTCCAGAGCCATGGATCTGGGATAAATCTTCCATTCCAGACACTTATAGGAACATAAAAAGTCTGTTTTTGATATGGAGATATGCATACAATATGATCCAGAAGCAAAGACTTGTACACATTTGTTTCACACTGGAACTTAGGCATGTGACATGATCTGTGCATATCAGGTGATTCCTTCACAGGTATTTAAGATTTTGCGAGAGAGCAAGAGAGTTACGTGTAGTTTTAGACATTTGTACACACAGAAAAATTTTGAAAATCAAAATGATTAGATTCGTGAAGATGAACTTCATCGGTTGTTTGTAAATGATCAGTAATTATTCAGGTTTGGATGCACACACTTGTAAAATAGTTTTACATGTGGTCACATTTGTGTGTGGAATGTGGGTCCTTAAAAGTTACACACAAATCACTTTGTAAATCTTAGTTTACGCTTGTGGATCATATCATACCCATTCTTTCCATATTTTTCCATATTTTGGAGTCCTGTCCATCGTTGGATCCACATAGCTATGCCAGCAGGTTTTCTCAACATGACCTACATGAAGTCCAAACAGTGCTTTTTCCTGACTGATGACACGCTGCAGTCCTGCATGAATATTAAAATGACTTCTTACAGCCCTGATGTGGAGAAGTTCTGAGAGGTTCAGAAACAGAAATCCCAATAAAACCGTGGAAACAGTATCATTTCATATGGTGTTATTTTGTAATAAATATTTATGTATTTTCGACCCTGAGACATAGGGCTTAAATACAAGAATCAGAAACAGGGGAAACATAATAGATGTGACGAGACAGGGAGGAAGCAAAACAGAATAAACTGACATAATAAGGACTTTCGAAGTAAAACAGGAAACACAAAAACACAGACGCAAAGAGGACACAGAACATAGAGACGTGTGGGACAGGAAAGCACGGAGGAGATATAACACAGAATACAGGGGAGGCACATTAACAAAACCTAAAGACAAGAAATCAAGAATGATTTATATGTGACAGCTGTGTGAAGGCAGGAGAACGACCCAAAGTGCAGACTCCAGAGACAGAAAGTAACTCAAAACAGCTTTAATGCTGAACTCAAAGGGGCAACAAAACTAAGAATACAAAATACACCTACACAGACAAAACACACAGCAAGATAAAGGTAGATCGCAACACAGACACAAAGAAACACAGGGCTTAAATACACAGAGGGAGCAATCAGGGAATGGGTAACAGGAGGGAAACACAGATGGGGCAAATCAGGCCTAACGAGACAAGGGGAAGCAAAACCAGACACATTAACATCAGACATGGACTTTCAAAGTAAAACAGGAAACATAACACAGACTCACAGGCAGGCACTATAACAAAGGGAACAGAGACGTGGGACCAGGGCAGACACAGACACTGACTGGATGTGGGGAGACAGCAACTATGGAACACAGACAGAAAACCAGAACACTAAAACTCTAACCAAACCCCACCCAGAGAACCTAAACTAAGAATAATCCTAAAACCCATAAAGCAAAGCTAGAATATAATAAAATAACAAAATCAAAGAACCAAAAACACAAAACACTGGGTCAATGACCCAGGGACCCTAACAATGATAAGGAACTAGGAGCTAGAAATACTGAAAATTTGAACCAAGAGACCAGCAGTGAACATTTATGAAGAAATCAAAGATCAATAATAGTACACAATTCAAAACACTGTGTCACAGACCAAGGGCCGTGACAGTTTTCACTGACAACATTTCACATGCCAAGAAAAAAAAAATTAAATGAATGAGAGGTCAAACTTGAGGGGGTAGGGACAAATAAGTAAATTCTTCAGCCTACTCCTTTTCAAACAAATAATGGAATGATATTTTGTAATGATTGTGAAGGCACATGTTTGAAATCTTTGAAATAAAAATGAACTGAACTGAATATGCGTTTCAGGGAAATTCAGAAAATTCAGAGAAATTCTAAAAATAACATTTTGACATGTGTGTGTGTGTCTGTGTGTGTTCATCACGTCTTTACCTAAAGATGTGCAGCAACAGAAAAGAGATGAGGGAGATAAAACTAAGTCGCCCATGATGGATTCTGGACAAGCAGCACAGAAAAAACTGTCTGAAGACAAACAACTGGTGCAAACCAACAACAGGTAAAGGTTGTTGTTTACTATACATGTACACAGCAAATTCAAAAGTGTTAAATGTTTTGGTGTTAATAGTCTTCTTGCAAAAGTAGAGTT